TCACCCCAATAACCCACGGAACCTAACAAGAATATTCCCGCACTATTCCTCAACACCCCCCCACCTCCACTCCTTTCCGGATTACCCTGAGAATAACCATTGGTGTTCAGTTTCAATAATGTCGAGATCGGAGGGATCCACCTAACTAAAGTGACCTTAGTCGGCGTCTTCCAACCTACTAACGAAGTGTAAAATCTTGGCCACGAGTATCGCCCCACTCCCATGTCCTTGAAATGCACCTAGAGAATATCACAGAGATCCGAAAGAACAAAGCCATGTACCTGCATGGCCGATAGCACCTTCCCTTCCCACACCGCCACATTTCTAGCTTTCCAAAGGTGCCAGCAAATCAGCGATGGCAACACCTGATAGACCAATCTAAGCCACTTGTTCTTAGCCGGCCGCAACCACCATTGAATGACTGCATGTTTTACCATTGATGGAGTGGCAAAGTCCCCAATCTCGACTTGAAATGACTCCCAAACCTGCCGCGGGACATCACCAGCACAAAATATATGATCAATTGAATCCACCCCTGGATTTTCACAGCAAGTACAGCGTGATGGCCCGCACACACCCCACCGCTGCAACACCTCCATCACCGACAGTCGACCAGACGACATCCTCATCATAAAAAATGAGATTTTTGCTGGCAAAGCTGTTAGCCAGATATTAGATGAAAATATGGAAATATTGGAGACCTTGCGAACCAAATTATACACAGAAGAAATGGAAAAAGAGCCAGAGATATCCAAATCCCACACCATCCTATCGGGCTGCTTAGAGTAAACATCAGGAGGGGTTATCTGTAGAATCATAGGGACAATACTTTCCGGAAGCCACTGAAGAAGCATTGGAATGTTCCAGTGCCCATTCAAGACAAAGTCCGCCACTGTCTCCAAAAATCTCGACCCGTTGACACAAAGACTTGTATCTTGTTCTTTTCCATATATTATTACTTAATCTCTTCTGATAATGTCTTCCAATATCACGCGATGCGATTTACTGGGGATCTTTCTAAAAATCCTTTTGACTCTTCATATGATAATTTATTTATAGAAATAGCTAATCTTAATCCAATTTTACATTTATCTATCACTTCTTCTATATTTTTTACACAGTTTAAATCTAAAATGTTCCAAAAGGAAATATAACTTCAGGTGTGATCCTATCTAAGTGTATAACCTTCATTGTCTAAAGGGATAATTGTAGAAACCTCCCCTGAGATTTCTGACATTTGCACTGACCTCCCCTATCAATTTTGAAATTGCATTAACCTCCCCTAGAAAAAGTTGGAACTAATTTAAAAGGTAAAAGTGTGTGAAATTACTAGAGTACCCCTATTGGATTTGACTTTACTAGATGAAAGGTTTGAGTACTTTCATCAAAACCAACGTTTAATTTGTTAAACAAATTAAACTAATCAAACTATTTCTGCATAGTTAAATTAATTAACTAATTAACTAATTAACTAATTATCTAATTAACTAATTTCTATTTTATCTAATTAACTAATTATCTAATTAATTAATTATCTAATTAACTAATTAACGAAGCAAACTATTTCTTCATAGTTAAACTAATAACTAATTATCTAATTGTTAATAGTTATTAACTAATCAAACTATTTCTGCATAGTTAGACTAATTAACTATTAACTAATTATCTAATTAACTATTAACTAATTAACTAATTAATTAATTAACTAATTTCTATTTATCTAATTAACTAATTAAATAATTATCTAATTAACTAAAGCTGTTGTCTGTCCGAAACTAACAAACTATTTGCATGTTAAACTAATTAACTGCTTAACTAACTAACTAACTAATTATCTAATTAATTAATTAACTAATTTTTGTTTATCTAATTAACTAAAGCTGTTGTCTATCCGAAACTAATAAATTATTTGCATGTTAAACTAATTAACTAATTAACTGCTTAACTAATTAACTAACTAATTATCTAATTAATTAATTAACTAATTAGCTAATTTCTATTTATCTAATTTACTAATTATCTAATTAACTAATTAACTAAAACTGTTGTTTGTCTGAAACTAACAAACTATTTGCATGTTAAACTAATTAACTAATTAACTAATTAACTGATTAACAGACTATTTGCATGTTAAACTATATGCAGTACGCATTACCTATTTAAAGTATCGGCTCTTTATGGGGATTTTACTTTCAAACATTTAATTTATGATAAAAATATCAATATTTGTAAGTAAAATTCAAAAAGTGTTACAAAAAATATCAATATTCTTACTTTCAAATATTTAATATATGGCCCTATGCCCCTCCCTTTTTGTAAGAATATTACTGTAATACTTTTTGAAAGTAAGAATATTAAATATTTGAAAAAAGGGAGGGGCATAGGGCCATATATTAAATATTTGAAAGTAAGAATATTGATATTTTTTGTAACACTTTTTGAATTTTACTTACAAACATTGATGTTTTTATCATAAATTAAATGTTTGAAAATAAAATACCCATAAAGAGCCGATACTTTAAATAAGTAATGCATACTGCATATAGTTTAACATGCAAATAGTCTGTTAATCAGTTAGTTAGTTAATTAGTTAATTAGTTAAGCAGTTAATTAGTTTAACATGCAAATAGTTTGTTAGTTTCAGACAGACAACAGCTTTAGTTAATTAGATAATTAGTTAATTAGTAAATTAGATAAATAGAAATTAGTTAATTAGTTAATTAATTAATTAGATAATTAGTTAATAGTTAATTAGTTAATAGTTAATTAGCTTAACTATTAACTAATTAGATAATTAGTTAAGCAATTGTCAAGCAAATAATAATTGTCAAGCAAGATGAGGGCAAAATTGGAAGAAATGTTTTATCTCACTTCTACAAATAATTTTTTAATGGGACATCAAGCTGTCAGGGAGGTTTCTGCAACAAATTGTTACTGTTCAGGGGAGGTGAATGCAATTTCTAAACCTAGAGGGGAGGTCAGTGCAAATGTCAGAAATCTCAGGGGAGGTTTCTGCAATTATCCCTTGTCTAAATAGTCTTTTTGTTTTGCTATATTCATTAATGATGAAATGAAAGACTTTTCTAAACCAAGTTCACGCCTAGCATATGAAGAGGCAGGTCTACTGGATGAAGGTATATCAGTTATATTTGGGTTTATTTCTAGTTTCATATACAATTTTATATTTATCGTCAAATTATTAAGTTTATTACCTATATTTTCTATTTCAGAATCTGAGAGATAAATAAAGTTATTTTCAGACTCACTCATTTTATTTTAGTAATATGCTTTGTTAGGTATTCTATAGCGGTCATATTTTTTTTCAGTAATTTTTTTCTGAATTTATTTTCTCTAGTTTTTCTTTAATTTTTTTGAATTCCTTTCTTTAAATCTTATATATGTATAACATTGTTTTTGTATTACAAATAGGTCTTTCTCTATTTTTAAATTTTCAAGTTCTATTATTTTGTAGTTACCCAAATTCATGTGTGCGTTCTTACTAAATGTAAATTTCGATTTGAAACAATCTTTTCTAAGTTTCTTTTTTCAATATCTAATAATATATTTAATGCTTCTAATTTATTTCTTCAGAGGAATATTTAACAGTAAGTTGTCTTACCTTTTCAATATCTAATAATATATTTAATGCTTCTAATATTATTTCTTCAAAGGAATATTTAACAGTAAGTTGTCTTACCTTATTTATTTTAGCATTAGCTGCTAGATCTTTACTAATAAAATTTTGACATTCTTGGAAATATGTTATTCTTTCATAAGAATTCATGGTGGATTTAAATGAGTTTCTCTATAATGATTAGTAAAGCTTTATTTAGTTCTGCATATTTATTAGTTATTAAATATTTTCATGTTCAGCATCTCTTAAGGTCTTATATCAATCATGGCAGGTAACTGGATTATAATTATACAAAGTGACATAAACCCACCTTTCTTAATAATATGTAATTCTTTCATTTAATTATTTTAATTAATATGCGAATTCTTTAATAAGAAATAACATCGAATCACAACATTTTAAAGAGATGGATAGTGCCAATCAAAATCGTCAAATTCTATTCCATTATCAAAAATATCTAATAGGTATTGGGTTTGCATCAAATTTTTCATCAGAAATACAATCACCATTATTATTTAAGGGAATATGTAGATCATTTTTGGGAATTGTGGGATCATTTAGGGCACCGCTACAGAGAATGAAGACAAAGAATTTTTTGTGGGACTTCAGTTTGGTTTTGAAGAAGAGCTCTTTGGTCTGTTGGAACTCATTGAGAATTTTGTGAAGAAGATGGAGCAAGATTAATATGTTTGTCTTTTAGTCCGTTAAGATATGTTGAACCTTTTGTGAGTTTTGACCCGTTGAGATCCATTGAGTCTTTTGCATCCTGGTTCGTTGGTGGCTCGTTAGGGTCTATTAGGATTTTGGTAGTTCGTTGAGATCCGTTGGGACTTTTTATGGAGAAGGTGAAGCTTGTTTGCCATTTGTTTGCTATTTGTCGATATTAGATACACGCCAAGATGGGTGATTTGTTGAATTTGTCTTTTTATCCCACATCAAAAATTTTATAAAGAAATATCTCCTCTTGATGATTATAAATATAGTAGATTTAAATAAATTTAATTGTGCTAAAGGTACCGGTCCAAGTACCGTATACACCAATTCAAGAGAGTTTTAAAGGACCCACAGCCCAATTAGAGAGGAGTTGGTTAGGTATCAAACCAAAAGAACAAGTCATGAGCTTGGAGCCATTCAACATTTAATGCTAATTAGGCTCTTTTGTATTTTCAGTTTTAGGTACCTTTTGAGTTTAAAAATTATTTCCTAAATTTTGTATTCTCTCTTTTGTACTCTCTTTTTATTCTTCTGTTATTGTCATTATTGAATTGCCGAGAACTCTATTATTCTCGTTGGTCAATTTCCTGGGACTAGACCGAACAGATAGTTTTTTTGATAGTCCGTCTGGGCAGCGGTGGCATTGGTTTTGTAATCTTCAATCCCTGCGAACAGGTAATTCATAAGTTATCCAAGAAGATTTTAGTGGATTCTCCAGTCCATGCGGAAGCTTTAGCTTGCTTGGAATTAGTTGTCTGGGCAAGGAGGCTTTGTTGTAATTCCCTTGTCAGAACTAACTGTATATTGTTCCTATCCTTCATAAAATACAGCTCCATTAAAGTTCAGTTTCAGCATGGCTAAACCTGGAGCATGCCATCAAATCTGCAACAATTTGCTAAGATTTGCTGCAGTGATGCTTCACCAGCCCCACTAGCTTAATTCTTCAGGTAAATTAATTCCAAAAAGCACCTGTTGCAAAGGATCCTTAATCTGACCACCATGGACCCGAGCATTCCTAATGGATTCGATTTTATCTAAAGTTAATTAAGGAACAGAGATGCAACTAAAAAGATAGCAAACTAGAAAATAGAATAGCTAAATAAAATTAACAGGCATTAAATTTGTCTAAAGAGATCAATTTCAGAGTTAATATTTAGAATAATGGATTAAAAATTTATCCAAAACATAATAGGTGGGGTTCATCCTTCTGTTCTGTGTTCTTTCCAAAGCTTATATATCACAAATTCCCTTATTATGATCATGTCTGCTGCTGCAAAATAGAATAACGAATAAAAAAAATTCAAAAACTAATGATGTGTACAAGTACAACGGTAGCTGATCTAATTTAGAAGTATAAATTTCAATAGGTACTGCTTAACAACATGATAAATTCTCACCTACTTATCTTCAATCCTTGGAACTTAACAAATTGATTAATTTTTTAAACTCCAGCACCAGCTTTTAACACAACTGACATTCATAATTAGCATTAATTTCTGCAAAAACAAATTACAGTCATCTAGAGCAAAACAGTTCTCTACATAACAGATGTCTGTTGTCTTTGATGCTACTGATGCTCTTTAAGAAAATTAATACAATGAAATTTGACCACCATCTTGGCAAGAAAAGCAAACAACGGTAAGAAACTTCTCTATGCTCCAGCAAGCTGAATTAGAACGAAGACCTTTTCTGTAGCAAATTTGGCAATTAAAGCCCCTGTTATCTTAGAATATGGACATGTATGGTGAGTTATATCAGGTTTTTCCCTTCCTTTCCCCTCGTTTTGTGTCTAAACATCAATTACATGTTAAATAAATAACAGGAAAAGATAAAAGAAAAGAAAATCAGCACACTCAAAGTCATAAGTTTATGGGAAAATGTACAACCTGATTAAGTGCCTTCAAATTTACATTTTTTTTGTTAGAAGGCCAAAAAAAAAAGAAGGGAAAGAACAGACAAAATCTGATAAATTATGGAGTCTTTTAAATAGAATCTCCCATCCTATAAAAAAAAATCAAGCCCACTGAGGCATAAAACAAAAGTAAGTGTAGATATACCTCTTGCTGTATAATTTGAATTGTAAAATTTCTCAATTGATCTCTATCCAGCTACAACTTCAAGTCTAATTTGTGCAGTAGATTACACTGCAAGTACCATCTACCTCTCAATCTCATTTGTACATCCTGGTCATAAACTCAAACATGCAAACCAATAAGAACCCAAACCATACTTGCTATTTTCTTTTTCAATGGGAAATACTTATTTAAATGATAAAAGACTCTAAGGCCTTGTTTGATAACTCAATTCAGCACTCACACTTAATGGAATTCAAATCTTAATATGTTCAGATGCGTTTGATAATCAAAATTAAAACATTTGAATTATTTAAGTGATACTGAATTTTCTAGGCAAAACTTGCTCCCAAAAATAAGTGATAGGCTATTCATTTATCACTTATTGTGATACACACTCAAATATATCAGATTTAGTACCTAAAATTTCAATAACGTAATAGATTCAAACTTTAGATTTCAGTTTTCAGTTTTATCAAACATACTTTAAAGATAAAGATATGCATAAGTACAACCACTATCTAGCAAAAGAAAATGTAATGTCAAATTGGAACATAAGTGCCTATGAAGTCACATGAGCGACACCCAAGAACCCAACCATTCTCTAGCAGCTCATTCCACTTATACTACAATCAAACTCAAAAGTCATTTTATCAGCTTCAAGTATACATAAGAACAACCACTGCCTAGCAAAAGAAAATGTAATGTCAAATTGGAACACAAGTACCTATGAAGTCACATGAGCGACACCCAAGAGGACAACCATATTCCACTTTATATTACAATCAAACTCAAAGTCATCTTATCAGCTTCAAGTATCATACCTTCCTTGCCAGTTCTCTGTGTTGAGGCAAAAACAAGAGCAACAGAAAAGAAATAAAACACTAAATACAAGATAAAGTAAGCAAGTAACATTACATACAACCAAAGAAAACCTGTTAAACTAAACTGAAGAGACGGTTAAGGAAAAAAGCATAAAACAGTTTCTTCATTTATCTTTCCTTTGCCAGAAACAAGGTGTACATTTAAACAATCCTATTAGCTTTCACTATTCCTTTAGCAAATTCAAATTGGAACAAATTAAAGAAGATCAACGATGCAGTTATTGAGTTGACTCCTCATAATTCCAACCTATTTTGGAATATATTTGTTTAACTATGCAAAATACAGCTAGGGAGTAAAACCACCTTAAAATGCATTAAACATTTACCATACTAAAAAGGGTGCAAACTCTAAATCCTACAAACAAGTCGGGAACAAACTCATGGAATGAAGTAATATTGTGCTGTATTGCACAAGGGCCAATATGATCTTTTCACCAGAAATCCTTCAAATATAAACAAAACCCATCAAGTAAAATTAGTCATCCAAGACGAAATCTTCAAACTTGAACTTACAACACTGGAATTTCAAACTAATAACAAAACTATAAGGGACAAAAAAATCTCAAATCCACATTTGCACCTTTCATTATTTTTGCTTAAATAAAAACCTTGTTTGGGATGTTAAGCTATCACTTCTTTTTTATCACCATTTTTTTTTAGTTTCAGAGTAAGATATAAAACTCACGCGAGAAGAAACCTTCTGACATGTATCAATAATGGCTTGAGTGCTTAAAGTCAAGGAAAAATCTGGGAAAAAAAAACTACGGGTAAAACATACAACAAGAAAATAATAAGAAATTATGGTACAAAATGTTTACCTTTACATGATTTCTCCACCCTAAATTAGAAAAAATTAAATAACCAATAGCTGAATACATATTTTTCAACAATAAATTCTAAGAAAAACCACAAAAAAAAGAACAAAAGGAAGGCGAAATCAGTTTAAAAGGCAAAAAAAAAAAAAATCAGATCATTCCACATCTTAGATTAGAAGAAGACGAAAGCTTCTCTCTTCCGTGGTTAAACAGCCAAAAAAGAAAAGATAAAATCATCAATAAAAATATAATATATGAGTGTGCATATATATATATATATATTAAACATCAGCAAAAGGATAAAAAAAATACCATGATTGTATTTACAAATTATTCAGATCGGATGATGGAGATGGATTAGTCATCTTCCTAATTCAGCTTAAGCAGCTTTTCCTCTGTTCTTCAAGAGAGAGTCGGAGTGGGTACAAGTATCTCTAGGAAAAAACTTCTTCGTTTGTTGATTAGGTAGATTGGTTAGAAGAAGATCAGATTCAAGGGGGTAAAAGAAATTAGGAAGAAGAAGAACTAAAGAAGAAGAGAAGAAAATGATGCGACTGATTTTTGGGAGGAGAGAGAGACAGATTTTGATGTCTTGAGGCCAGAACCCAGTAAATTCTCACCAAATACCTAAAAATCTGGAAACACGTTATTTGGTAAGAATGCCAAAAAAAATAAGATGCATGAGTGGCACATGAGAGACGACTATCCTTTTGCAACCCCATTCCCACTTTATACTACATTTTTAAAGACTTTCCTCCTAAGCTGTTGATATATAAATGCTTTGACAAGACCACACAGCTTTTGAACAGTCATAAATTCAGTAGTCTCTCATCTCCATTTGACAGAGTCATCTGCTTCTGACCTTACCTTCAAACTTACCAAAGTATCTGATAAAGCATAAACAATCTTATTGCAACTTAGAAAACTCTACATCTAATTGGCTTTCACAAGCATCCAATCATTCACTACCATGACTTCATAATTTTATAAGCAAAACCTTCACAATATTACTTGTTAATTTTTTGTAATACTGAAACAACCATCCCTTTTCCTGTCAAACTTGAGCAAACTTTATTGAAGAGCAGATGTCAATTCCCCACTGTCTAGACTGTAGTATTCTTCTTTCAAATTATAATTACTCATCGAGTCTTTTAAGTGATTCTTGGCATAAAGTTTTCAGTAGATACCGCACAAAGTTTCTCATTACCTGTCAATGTCTTTGAAAATCTGTCACACACAAAAACGCAATTAATTAGATCTCTTCAAAGTATACATTACAAAAAAAAAGGTACAAATGTTGGCATCTATTCTTTTCCTTGCTCTCCTCTCAGGACACACTAAACAAATGTTTCTCACATTCAAATTTATCCATTGAAATGCAAAATTCAATATGACAGTGCAATCAAGAACAAGCAACACGATTTACTTGAAGGAAAAGAATGAAAGCTTACCTATGTTTTCTTAAGAGTACTTTGGCCATTGACAACAAGAGGATACACCCAGAATGCTGTGATTACTCAGGAGCAAAGAACATGACTACTCCCTCAACCACCTATTAGTCAACATTGTGTCCATGGAAAACTGTAAATAATTTTCTATCATGGTCCTATATTAAAATCTTCAGCTTTTGTAATTAAACAAGGGACCTCCTGAGGAAGTTCACAAAAGTCACATGGAAATGTGGACTTGAAAGCCAAGGTGTTGTCAAGTACCTGATAGTGTATGGATCAAAAGAGTAAATGTGGATATGAATCATTAACAAATCTAAGTCCATGACATTCATTTGTAGAGAGACATGATCAATCAACAAACATTTCTTTTAAACTTTAACTGCAGTGAAAGTTTAAAAAAGAGAACTGGTGCAACACCCAGTTTACTTCACCAAATTCTTTTGGCACTATTATGTAAATGCAATAACATGAAAATAATTATTCATGTCCCTATGAAGTGGACCAAATCTTGAATGGAATAGCAATGTGAGAAAGTCAAACTAAGTCACCAAATTATTTTGGTGACGTTGTGCAGTACCATGAGCTATACCATGATCTAAGAGTCAAATACATGTTATTAGAAATTATAAGCAGTTGGATAACAGTTGAGATTCCAGTTCTCTGAGATTAGAAGGGGATTTCAGGATACAATAATGAAAGCTTGGCAGGAATGGCTGGAATATGAGAATGTCGGAAGGAATGTAACGAGGAGGAGCCCTAATGAATCAATAGACCAAAGTGAGGATCAGATTCCCCGAGGTATGGACAGAGATATGATTGACATTGACTTAGCTACACACTCAAGTTCCAAATTTGAATCACTTGGGTTTGGAGTGGTAGATATGGACTGGAGGAAACACGTCAAGGCTAGTTGGGCAATCAATGAAAGGAAAAGTGGGAACAGCATCCAAGATGAGACCGAAGGACTGAAACTATCTATAATTAAAGCTATTGAAGCAGGATGGCATAGGATTCACATCAAACATGCTCTAGCAAACAACTAGTTCACAACTAAAAGCCAAGAGGAGTCAAGATGCTAACCTGACTTCCATGCTCGAGGACATCAATATGCTCAGTTCTTTGATTCACTTCTGTTCCTTCTCTTTTGCTCCTAATAGGAAATAGTATAGCTAATAGATTAGCAGATTATGTTTTAAACATTAACCAAGATGAGGAATGGTTTAATACCTTCCAGCTGTGAATATGGCAGTTTGATCTTTTTGTGGCATTTGCTCCACTAACTCCACACTTTTGTAGCCTTGTTTACAGTAATGAAAATTGACTTTTGATCCCAAAAAAAAAAAAAACAGTTGAATGAACACTAGAAGAAGACTAATTAAACAAGCAACACAATGCCATAAAATGAAGTCAGAAATTGCAATTGATGAGGGAAAAAGACAAAAGGAAGAGGAAAGTTAGAGGATAGGCTCAAAACCAGTTTATGTAGTTAACTGTGTGATTCTATCCCCAATTTAGACCTATATTGCTGTGCCCTAAACTATTAAAATAATGCGTCCAGATAGCCCACCTATTCAAAGAAATAAACACGTAAAAACTGCACATCAGATTGTGATCAGTCGCTAATAACAGCAACCAATCCATTGTTACAATGATCTAGATGCATGCTGTGCCTTTGCTGTTTCCCGCAGAATAGCACCCACGATTGCTGCCTGCTCAAGACACTCAGCCTTATGCAGAGAGTCCATAAGAACAATACATGTTTTTGTGTATATGTTGCAACCTCTTAACCTAGTCTCTTCAAATAGTTGGTAAGCTTCCAATGCCCTATTTGAAATGCTTAACCCTTCTATCATAGTATTATAACAGGCTGAATCAGGTACACCTCCATTTGCCTTGAACCTTTCAAAGAGTTTATCAGCTTCTAGTATATTTCCGGCCTTTGCAAGCCCAGATATCATAGTGGTATAAGTAATCAGTTTGGGTTTTAGACCTTGCTTCTGCATTTCCTGCCAAAAAACAAAGGCTTTATTGAATTTTTGCACCCTACAAAGCCCATTTATGAGAATGCTGTAAGTTATTGAGTCTGGACTGCAATTCAAGTTTTTCATTGAATTAAAGCAGACAAGAGCTTCATCTACTTCTTCAGCCTTCACGAGAGCATCAATCAAGCAGTTCCAAGTATAAGTGTTCGGCGTCAAGCCTTTTTGCATCAATTCTTCCATAATCAGATATGCTTCATCAATTCTACCCACCTTCCCGAACCCATCTACAAGGCTACTGTAAACCACCACATTTAACTCCACACCTTTGGATTTTGCTTCTTCAAAAAGCATGTAAGCTTCATCAAGCCTGTCAATCTTTGCAAGCCCATCAATAACACTACCATAAGTGACAACAGTAGGTTCATGACCCTTCACCTTCATTTCCTCCAGCAGTTGATAAGCTTTATTGACCTTTCCTGATTTACAGAATCCATCAATTACCGTGTTATAAGCAAGGGTGTCAAGAATACACCCTCTTTCCTTCATTGTATAAAATAACTCGTATGTTTCGCGTGCAAAGCCTGCTTTTATAAGACCATGAATCAGAATAGAATAACTCCGCACATCTGGAGTAAAACCCAGATTCTTAATTTCCTGAAACAAAGCTCTGCCTTTCTCTGTCTCACCAGCTTTGAAAACACAATCCATATAGGTGTTAAGGAGCAAAAGATCAGGGCCAACACCTCCAGAAACCATTTCTTTGTAAATCTTGTGCCCATCTTCCTTCCTTCCAGACCTGAAAAAGTTCTTAATCAAGGATGTATAAACAACAGCATCAGGAGCCTGATCAGAATCTAACATCTGCTCATATAACCTGTATGCATCATCTACCCTGCCATGCCTACCCAAGCCATCTATAAGAGAGCAAAATGTCCTTGTATCTGGCATACAAAGTTTGTGGTCCATTTCTTCAAAAATAAAACAAGCTTCATCAAGTTTCTGAGCTTTACACAAACGGTCAATCATTATATTCACAGTCAATACATTGGGAAACAAGCCTGAAGATTTCATGGCATCTCGAACATCTAAAGCAGCTCTGTACTGTCCTTCCCTGCAAAGCATGTCAATGATGATATTATAAGTTGTGCGATTAGGTGCTGCATCTTTTTTCATCTCCTCAAAGATCCTTAATGCGTCATCAACTTTTCCCTTCTTCCCAAGGCAGGTTAGAAGAGAATTGTATGAAATTACACTTGGTATGGATCCCTTTAACCTTTGCCTTTCAAGTAACCTATATGCTTCATCAAACTTTCCAGCAGATCCATATCCCATGATCATAGTGCTATAAGCATATGCGCATGGTACTGCCCTATTCTGCTCCATCTGTTCAAACAGGTGCACAGCTTCATCCAGTCTGTTACCCTTGCAGAGAACACCAATCATACTCGTATATGTAACTTCATCAGGTACGAATCCATTAGCTTGCATCTCATGAAAAAACTTCCAAGCCATATCCACCTTACCCACCTTGCCAAAGCAGTTTATACACACATTATAGAGAACAATGTCTGCATCCAATGAGTTGCTTTTCATCTCCTCCAAAAGCGAGAGAGCAGCATCAACTCGACCTTCCCTGGCAAATACTCGTATAAGAGTCGTAAATAAATGAACGCTCACTTCATAACCTAATTCTTGCATCTGAAGAAAGAGTGCCCGCATAAGATCAGGTTCATTAACAGTACATAGGGCACCAATCAGGGTAGTGTAAGCTGAAAATGCAGGGCGAAACTTTAACTTCCTCATTGTCTGAATACAATCAAATGCTCCCCTTAATTTTCGAGTCTTGACATAGCTATCTATTAGCTGAATACAGGTACTGTTGGATGGGCCATACCCAGCAAGACCCATCTCTTCCAAAATTTGTTCCACATGATCAAACCTCTTACTCTTCACGATTACCATGAGAAGCCTATTGTATGCCTCCGGACAATGCGCTTCGTCAGTTTTCTTCTCAACCCACCGAAAATAGTTTAGTGCTTGTTCAACATCTTTCAGCCTCCTTAAGACTCCAATAACTAGTTCTGAATGACGTTTTTCATCATACGTAGATAAAGCATTTTCAACTGAAGGCCCCCAAGATCCACTCTCCAGGATCTGGCACACCCTGTCCGCTTCTTGCCATATACCCTCTGATTTTCCCAAATATTCTTGGTTAACCCCATTTCCAAAAGAAGCTGATCCACCATCCTGATTGCAAGGTCCATTACTTGAAAATGACAAGCTCCTGTAAGAGGCAATCACACGAAAGCATCTTGAGGCAGACTGAAACATTAATCCTGCGGTACCAATTATGATCAGTGAGCTACCAGAAACAAACTTAGAGTTCCAGTAAATCAACAAACTCATGATTAAAGAAATAGAAAGAACGGGAAAACATTCAGGAATTAAATGAATTCAACCAGCATACCTAGGTTCGCAAAAAGTGCCATCATTCTTGCACTTTTGAGCTTTAAATAAAATCTCTGCAAAATAATCAATGCACTGAATTTCTCTTTTAACCATGCTTCAAAAATTCATCATCGAAACTTGGCAGGCCATTCTGATAACGATACCCTACAAGTCGGAGACTCCAAAATCGGTGACTGAGGACAATTCAGGAAGAATCAAATGAGTAAAACATGCAGCCTAATTGTCTAAGTCGACCAATTTCAACTCAGGATCAAATCAAAAAACATTTCTACTTTACTAAAAGATTAATGGAAAGACTATGACAATCCGCCAAGAACATCCCAAGAACATTGATAAATTTGAAGTCTATTGGATAAAATCATCAGAGTAAGAAAAGTACAGCAAAAACAATAAGAAACTAACCTGCATACAAAATCTCTAGCTGAAACTTGTCTCCTTCAAGACCCTTAAAAGAGCAGCAGGTAGAAAAAGAGGGTGAATGAGAAGCACGAGTATAGCTTGCATAAGGAAGAAGAAGAACGCGAAGGGCTACTGAGAATGCTTCAGGGAAGGAGAAGGTTACCAGGGGAATTACGAAAGAAAAAGAGTAGTGGTGGTACTAAACTGGGGTGGCTCGACTATATCGGAGTTTAATGTCTTGTTCTTTAGGCCCGACATGAGATGGGCTTTGATAGGCCGAACTAAAATCAATGGGCATTGGTACTACTTGTTTTAAGCGCTATGTAGATTCTGGGAATAAAACTAAAATGTCCCCTTGCAAGGTGTAATATTGAATGTTTATCTAAAGGACTAAAAATATACTATAACGTATTATCAAATATCTTATCTTACTATAAGATAAGTAGAGGTCCAAATTTACTGTAGCAATTCCCCTTATTGACATGTGGTATTATGGGTGAATTTTGAGTTTTCTTTTTTGCTTTCTATATGGATTTGGTATTGTCTTGTGGAGTTGGCATTACTTTAGATGTGTTCAATAACCCAAATTAGATTGCATTTAGCATATCTTTATAAGGTTGAATTATTTTGAGTAGACTTTTCAATATCTACATTTTGAACAGATATAATTCAATTAGAATTTATATTTATTACTATTCACATTAACATTTCAACTTATATTTGACAAATTAACTTAAGATTTAATTATTTCTATTCGAGTTTTCAACCTTATCATTTAAAATATATTTGTCAAAATAAGTTATCATATAAAGTTAATGTAAAGCAAAAGATTATTAATGTAAAGCAAAATTGATTCTATCCTATTATAAAGAACAAGATTATTATTTCTACTCAATGCAATGTACATTTATCTGTATCAATTTTATTTTGATTTGTTAATGTCTAAAATTTTTGGTAACACTTGACTTTATGTTTATTCATATTTTTATTGTCATTTTAGGATACACAATTGAACTAACATCGCCACTTAATATATTATATATTTTTGTTATCAATTCCATTTTAATTCATTTATACGTTTGGTTCTTAAAGTTATCAAGAAGCTCTTAAAGTTATCAATTCCAGTTAAGAGTTGAACTAACATTGCCACTTAATATATTATACATTTTTGTAATCAATTCCATTTTAATTCATTTATACATTTGGTTCTTAATGTTATCAAGAAGCTCTTAAAGTTATCAATTCCAGTTAAGAGCATTCAAGAAGGCAACTTAGAGATTGTTTGGTTCTCCAGTTTTTACTCTGGTTTGTTTGCAACAAAGTGAAAAAAAAAGAAGCATTCTTCAACCACTGCACTTTTTGACAATCACCTAATCAGATTAGACGATTGCTTTCTTTCTAAGAGTTAGGTTGTACTTCATATAAATGTCAACCTTTTGATAAGTTATCAGTTGTACTTCATCTTTTCATAACCATTAGATTCAAATACAAAGTACTATATTAGCTTTCATAAACTACCTTTTTAGACGAAATTATTATCAACAAACAAACATTGAATAGTTCAGCCTTGAGTAGTACAGTCCACACTACTACATTCATTAATAGCTGCTGTTCTGCTTTATTTCTTTTTTGTTTGCACATAGCAGAAAGAAATCTTCCTTCACTATCTTGCTTTCTAATCGTTTGGTAATAAAATTTTTCTTAGCTTTTTCTTCATCACATATATGCATTTATATCTTATTGTAGTAACACATAGTTTCTTTTACATGTTTCCTGTTTTCATGTTGCAGCATTGCCTTCAGTATTGAAGATTTTGGCTTGGACCATCACTTTACTTCAGGTTAGTCATATTACTCATAACTAGCCTGCCTAATGTTTGATAAAATGCTCGTTAAGTTTACTTGATATTTCCAAATTTCATAAGCATTGGTAGCTGCTTACTATTGAATCATATATATTGTGTGCCTATGATTGTGAACTCTGGTAATGAACTTTCAAACTGCTTGGTCTAAGCTGATTGTTCATATGCAAGATTTAATGCATAACTAAGATAATTGATAGCCTGTTTCATTATGAGTTAAATTTTGACAATCAAAAGAAAGGAAAAAATGAATTAGACAAACATAATTATTGACTCAACTGACAAAGGATGCAACGACAAATTTTATGCGAACCAATATTAGGAAATTGTAGCATGCAAGTCCAAGACCAAAATTTCAAAAGTTCAATGGCAAATAGGCTACTACACACAGTTATGCCATGATGTCTAATTTACAACACGTTGCTTTTGTAAGCTTGCCACGTTTAGGTAACCATTTAGAGAAGAAAAACTATAGAAAGCTGGCTTACCTTAGATGGAAATAAAAAAGATTGCGCTTATATCATTTTCAAATGAAGAAGCAATCTTCTACTGAACCAGTAAACATTTCTCTATTAGATATTGATAGAGAACATCTGCAAGATGCCTCTGAAGCTCAAAACAATGATGGTATTAGGCTTACTAAAAATAGGCAATAAGCATATATTAGATAGAACTCTAAAAAGTTTTGCAATGAAACTGTCTAGCCTACTCAGGCTATTTGTACTAGGAGCATAACCATATGCGAGAGTATATCCAGCCATCAAGAAATTCTGAAAACATTGCTACACCTATGGACCATAATAGAGGTAATTCCTTTTACCACTCCTCAAAAATTTAGTGTATCATCTGCTTGGTATCATATTTACTAAAATTATGATCTTGTGATCTTATGTGTCAAATCAATCATTGCAAGATGAAGCAATGCAACTGTCCTATGAATGGCAAAACATATGCCAAAGAAAAAGAAAACATTTAGGTTATAGTCAATATTTTGTACTTTATCTTAATTAAAAAAACACCTTACTATAGAGGTTTCTAATGCAGTCAATTATTATTTATTGTTTTACTTTAGGAAGCACTCCTAAGAAAGGAAGAGATTTGTTAGACTATATAGTTGACATTCTTGGTATTCTACCAAAACAAAAGGACTATTTACACTGTGGAGCCAAAAAGTTTTACTCAGAGATGGCAAACTTTTGTTGTGCTAATGGCGATATAGTCCTCATGCAGAATAAGCTTCCAGATATTTTGAGAGAACTCTTAACTTCATCTTCTGAGGAAGCGGAAACATTTAGGTAGTTGATTAGAACTTACATTAATCACTTTGGATTCACATCTTTTGGCGTTAAATGTGATAAGAATCTTTCTAAACGAAACAAAGGAGTGTATACATTTAAAGTACAAGGATAAGTGCATCATTTTCTGAATAACTTGACACTTGCTAGCAATCCAGTCAGTAACATGCAATTGTACTTTCATGATGCTGAAAATGAGCTTTATAACTGTAAGGCCGCCTGTCCAAGGCTATTAGAAAATGTAATAAAAAAAATCATGATTGTCCTTGAGAACAATCCATATGCAAAATTTTTTAGGGGCTTAAGCAATGTTCCTAATTTAGCTAGCTATAAGATAATTCTGCGTACTCTGCCTGGTGTTGACCAGAGAGTATACAATAAGCCAACTGAATCACAGGTGGCTACTTTATGAGTAGAAGGCGAAGAAAATGGTGAAAACAGTCGGCATAATATTCAAGTATATACTCATGGTGGATAGCCACGAAATATTGAGTATTACTACACTTGTTATGATCCATTACAATGCCCATTAATGTTTCCCTTTGGAGAACTTGGATGGCACAAAGATATTCCAAAGAGAGGAATAAAAACAAAGAATAAGAAAGATAAGACAAAGAGAAATTCATCAGATCTGGTCTCTCTAGCAAATGCTTTCACTATTGATCAATTACTTCACAATGAAGAAGCTGGTGAGTACAATCAAAAGTTATAAATAGTATACTATAATATAACTTACGTACATAGCTATTCTAAATAGTGTATTAGTTTTTATATTGCAGTAATAGGTACACTAAAAGACGATCCAAATTTTGTTTCACTCAGAGAATCTAATGCTTATAAACTTCAAATTAGAGATTGAGATGAATCTTTTCTGTTGCATTTTGATCGATTATTGCAACAATATGTAGTTGATGACAATGTCAAAATTGAAACATAGAGACTTGACTTTTTCAAATCACAACAAGAAGAAATTAGAAAAGAATTTTTGAATGGCATAATTGACGTAGTGGCATATGGAGACACTCGAGGATCAAATATTGGTTATCGAGTTTGTGAGGACTCATGTTTTATTTCTTAAAATAGTCATTTTTATAATTATTTACCTTAGAGTTAATTATATTTTAGTTGCATGAATTGCCCTTAAATTTTACTTTATCGCGCGCGAGTCGAAAGTTCGCGTAAGTCACGCCAGAACGACTAAGTGGAGATTTGAGAAATTAATATTTGACTAGTAAGAGTGAGAAATTACAGTGTAAAAGGAAGTACCTTGGAGGATTAGTACATGAGTGTATCAAACCCAAGAGAAAGAGGTTGTACGAAACCCTATTCCGACGACTATTCAAAGTTGACTTTAGGCAAGCTTAATGCCTACTTTTCTCTCCAATCTTCCAAGACAAGCCACAACTCTCAAACACTCTCTCTTTCTCCTCTGCATTTGGCCGAACCCTCACAAGGAAGAAGGAAAGAAAAACTCCATTCCATCTAGCTTTATTCCACTCACAAATCTTCCACCAAATCGCATACTACTTGGAGTACCACTCTATCTTGGAACAAGAAGTAATCTTGTGGATTTTCTTAGAGAATTTTCGGTGAAAAAATCTGGTATTCAACTAGGGTTTAAAGGGTAATCACTTCACCTCTTTAATCTTTCCATTTCTTCAAAGTTTAGCTATTAATCTTCATGGGTTTGAAACCCTAACCGCGTTATAGGCTAGCAGACTTGAGGAACCATTTATTTCGCTTTTAATCATAGGCTAGCTGACTTGATGAGACCTCTAGTAGCTGACTTGAGGCTTGATTTTTTGATTATGGTTCTTTATGTGATAAATGAGATGTTTATGGCTAGAAAGTGGAGAGAAATCGAAGGAAAGTTGTGAAGGCAAGCTGGCCGAAAATTCTGTCCATGTTGTTCTGTTTTTATTTCAAAATTTTGATGCTTAGTTGGCTGTGAAATTGATAGATATATGTTGTATATTGTGTGTACAAAGTTCCTTTCAAAAATCGTATCGAATGGTTGCACAAAACTTGAGTTT